GGGCTATTTCTGACTCCATGGCCAATCACTGGGCCAAAATTTCATAGTTAGCAAAACAATTCCATCTGAGCAAAAAAATATTTTTTGAAATGAAGTCACAATGCCATCACACTATCATCGGCATCATCACCTCGACCTCTGCACCACCATTATCACCTCAACTGGCCCCACCACTACCTCTATCCTATCATTGTCGTTGCCACCACTCTATCACCTCCATTGAAAAATGCTTTAGACCTCTAAATTGTGAGCTCTAATCTGTGGGTCTTATTGTGTGACTTGATGTTTTGACTTTTGTTTTGTTTTTTTCTTTAGATTGCCACATCACTAATGTTCTTATTAGAGTTCTATTATTAGAGCTCTTAATCACCACTGCATCTCAACCTCTGCCCAATCTCACTAATACAACCATTAATATATTGATTTAAAAATGCAACCATCATAAAAGTAAATATTTTCACTTAATTTTTTTTTTACCCAAACAAACAGAATGTACAAAAGAAGCCCACAAGCACCCCATAAACTGCACCATATATTACACAATTTGAGCAATATTTTTAAAATTCATGATACAACAAAAACTCAAAACACAACATCCAATCTGAGTTGGTTGACAAGAGCCTCAACTGATACACCTACACTTGCCTATCAAAAATCCAACTAAAAGGCATGGGAGGTTGTTTCTTAGCCCTCAATTCAGCCCTCTCCTCCAACTTCCTAATTTTTGCACCCAATCCACAAACATAATCCTAAGCCTTCCTTCCCTCATCAGTGTTAGAATAGTAGAGAGAGGGAGAGAAAAAGAATAATATGTATTGCATTGAATGAATTGTCTTATACAATAGAAAGCTTGTATATATAGTTTGAGAAAGAGTATCATACTAGAAATCTAACTATGAGAAATAGTATTTTATATGAGACTTAATTATGGCAATACCTAATATATCTAGGAAATTAATACCTAATATATGTAGGAATATATACCATATATACATTAACATCCAACAAGCGTGGCACACACATAACTTATGACGTGGTGCTGAACGATGATGGCAACAGATAACTGAGTACGCCAGAAGGCGGCTTGGATTGTGCACCAGGGGACGACTTTGGTGGTGCGCTAGAGGAAACGGCTTGGATTGTGCGCCAGAAAGGAGCATCTTCGGTTGAGGCGGGCGGCCAAGGTGAGGCTGCCGCCGCCAGTAAAGCGAAAAACACCAAGAACTTAACCTATAGCTCTGATACCATGTTAGACTAGTAGAGAGAGGGAGAGGAAAATAATAATATGTATTGTATTGAATGAATTGTCTTATACAATAGAAAGCCTGTATATATAGGTTGAGAAAGAGTATCATACTAAAAATCTAACTATGAGAAATAATATCTTATATGAGACCTAATTATGGCAATACCTAATATATTTAGGAAATCAATACCTAATATATGTAAGAATATATATCATATATACATTAACGGAAAGCCCAACTAGCTTCTCCATTCCCCATTTTTCTACCAAAAACTCCAATGTATCAGCATTGTCCTTGGCAGTGTACACCCTGAGCCGCTGCGCAACTTTCGAGAAGTGCACAAAAAGATCATCATCTTCACCATCATACATGTGGTGAGCTGGCTTTGACATTTTCTTCTACATCATTTGGGCAAATGAGATGACACTCTCATCCGGATTGACCTCGAATATCTTCTGCATGACTTTGACGTAAGCTGTTTCGTGTCGCTTTTTGTCTGCAGCTATTGTGCCATAGATTTGAGCCAGGAGAGTGTCTCCGTATTACTTAGCATGGCTGGTTGTGTTGCCATGGGAGATGAAGGTTGCTCTCTCTTGGTATGATGCGTAGATGAAGCCTTGGTGAGGATTGTTTTCCGTCTTTATGTCCTATAATGGAGTCCTTAGGAGTGAAGATATATATACAAAATTTGGGTTTTTTATTTTTATTTTTATTTTTAATGGGGTATTGTAGGAAATTGGTCTTTTTCCTTAAACTTGAAGGTGACATTGCTTTATTGATTACAAGAAATGAATGACTAGGAGACAATTTGTTGAATTTTCTGTTAATGATAATTACAAGCTGTTTAAGGAACTAGTTGAAACAACAAAGGTATAAGGATCTATCCCTCTGTCCCAAACGCTTTCTTTATCATGTGATTTTTGAGTAAGAGAAAGATTCATCATGTAAAAGCATATCTAATGGTGTGCCAAATCTTAAACCGAAGTCGTTTTTGACTATTCCATCACAAAGATCCTACTCAAATTGTGTGCAAAAAATTTACCACATTAGCATAAACAATCATGATCACTCGATACTATTTTGAAAAATAGATTCAATGGTCAAAAGTTGATATGTGAATTGGTTTGTAACAAAAAAATGTGGAAACCATTGGTGTAGTATAACTAATTGTGTATGAAAACTCACCATTCCCGATCCGATTAGATACTGGATTGTCTTCTCCACTTGTCTCATATCAACTCGACCAGAAAGAGAGAGGTACTTACTAAGAAGGTCACCATGCCTGTTTTCTTCAGCAGTCCACCCCCTAATCCAAACAGCCCCAGGAATCATGCTCGAGCCTGTTTCGTCCTGGATAGCGTCGTGGTTATTAAGGGTAGTTTGGTAAGTTGGAAGGGCTTCTTCTGTGATCATGTCTCCAACCAACACTACTAAGTACTCATCTGGAAGCTCTTTTGCTCTCTGCCTTAGCTCCTCCACTTGATCATAGAAACCGTCCGATGTAGGGTCTGGAAGAAACTCGCCAACATTTTTCTACAGGTTTTAGGTAAACCAAAAGATTGTCTGTGGTCCAGTCTTCCATGGATTTGAACATTTCAAGCTTTTCTTGTGGCAAAGAAAGCTTTCTTGCTTCTCTGAGAACTGCGCGAGGACGGAAAACAGCATGCCTTGTGGAGTTTCTTCCCTTTCTGATATCCAACAGAAGACAATTTTGTTAGGTTATTGGTAGGTAATATCCAAAATAGAAGCCATAGAAATTGGTTTCAGTATTGTTCTTTATGTTAGGGAAAATAAAAGATTTTCTATAAGTAAATCAATCAATGAGAATAAAAATTAATACGAAAAAATTAAATCAAAACCAACACAAGAATTTTACATGGTTCCTTCAATGTAAGGTACGTCCATGAGATCGAAATAAGATTCCATATCAATCAAAAAGTTTCCAAACGATTATAAACGAGATACGAATGGTCTCACAAAACTACCCTTAAGTGAATTTCAAATAATTACAAATAAACAAGAGGAAAGACCTCATCAAATAGATGAACCAAAATCTTCATAATCAGAATTATAAAAGATCCAAAATAATAACCCAAATCAACTTTTAAATCATAGGGCAACAACATTAACCAATCAACCCAAAGCATTGACCAATAGTCAACAATTGAATTTGCCCAGCATAGTCACCAAGGACAAATCAATATTGACAGCAGTCCCTCTGTCTCCTCGGCAGAACAAATAACAATATCAATATGTAATGTTAAGTTTTAAATTTGTTTTATCAAAATTCTAGTTGTTACCAAATTGAATTGGCTATCTAAAATTAGATATAATATATTAAAATATATTACACCTAAACCAAATCAAATTAAAATTCTTTTAACAAACTAATAAGGTCCCATACTCTAATAAGGAGATATACCCAACATTTTATCACCTTGAATTTAATTTCTATTTCTATTTGTAGTCTAGAAGAACATCAGAAGCAAAAAAAAAAAAAAAAGACAAAAATAATCAAAAAAATTTACTAAAAAAAATAATTTCTGTACGCCCCCTAACCTTTTCAATAACAAAAAGTAATTTTTTTTAGTATTTGTTAAAAAACACATCAATTTTTTTAGCAATAATTTTATCCAAAAAAAAAAAAAAAAAGACCTACTAAAGATATAAATACAGCGGCTGTAGAGTTACGCTTAGAACTCCTGAAAACTTAGGCCACGTTTGGGAATAGTTTTTTTGGTTAAAATAGTTAATAAAGATAAAAAAAAAATGCTAAAATAACTAATAAGATAAAAAATCACATTTTATATATCAATCAATTATTTTTTCTCACAAATCATCTATTCAATTATAAAAAATCCACAAATTGTTCCAAATGTAACTTTTTTTCATCACATAAAATAATCAAAGAATAAAAAAACTAACTAAAATATCAAACGAGGCCTTAGGGCCTGCCCTAAAAAAGTGTCTACAATATGGCCCTGTTTGGTGGAGCTTTTTTTAAGCTAAGAGTTAATAATTAGAAAGTAAAAACTAAAAGCACCTCTACCATAGCTTTTAAATAATCATCTTTTTTAGCTTATTTAAGTTATTTTTGCCCAATAAACTATAAACAGAAGTTACGCCAAATAATCTGGTATAAACTCCTAAATCAAAATAAGCTATAATCACTCCTAAAAACTATAACAAACAGTCCCCATATCCTTTTGTAACTAAATTATAAAAATTTATTATACCATAAAAATTGGTAACATGAACTCTAGAATGATATAGTTCACTACAAAAGAGTATAACAAAAATCACAACATTTTCATAACAGAATCATAAATAGTCACAGTGCGCCTTTTTGTAACTACTCTACAATGATTCACAACAATTCATAACTTTCTTATAATAAGAATCATGCATAGTAAATTTTTTTTTTCATTTCACAATTCAATAATAGCTATCTCATTTGTATAGTGAAATTGAATTGTTATGAATTGGTAATATAATATGATAATACTGATGTATTCAATTTTTTTCTTTTTTTTAATTTTGGTGGTGTGGACACATTAGGTTGGCAAGGGTGTTGTAAGACAAGATATAAACGAGTCTTGACGCATCTTCAACCATGAGATCAAAAATAAAACTGTAATGTGGCTCTCAACGTGAACCCTAAGCACATGAAAGCTCAAACTACCTTGCATTCCACGTGCCTTTCTCTAACAGCTTCCATTGATATTTTCATATTAAATTCACTAACACACATCAACATTCTTTATCTTCCTAGCTGGCTCAAACATTACCCAAAAACATTTTCAATGGATTCCTCTCAAAGCCAACAACAATCAACTTCCATATCTATTGAAACCATTGAATTTTCCATAGAAAATCTCATTAAAAGCTGGATCAGAAGGCAAAAATGGAAAGTACACTTCAATTCCACACAACAACTAGAGGACTACAAGAAATCCCCATGGAGAACACACTTAGTCAATTTCCTAGAATCAACTCCGATTCATGTGATTGCACTCTCACTTCTTCTCGCTGATTTGATTTTAACTACCCTTGAACTTTCATCGTCTTTGCTTTCTTGCGCGCCAAGCAAGCACGAGAAAGGGCAAGTATGGTACCATTGGTTGGGGATTACAATCTTAAGCCTGCTCGGTTTGAGGACCGTAGCTCTAGCCATAGGCCTCGGTGGGTCCTGCTTTAGGCGACCTGGCTGTGTTATTGATGGAGTGGTTGTGATGGCAGCGTTGGTTTTGGAAGTGTTTTTGGAGAGGAAGGGCGGCGGGTTGGTGGTGGTGGTGAGCTTGTGGCGTGTGGTGAGGGTTGTTGAGAGCGCATTTGAACTAAGTGATGTGGCCATTGAAGGGCAGATTGAAGTTATAGTGTGTCAATTTGAGGCATTGAGAGAAGAAAACAGAAGGCTCTTGGGAATAATTGCTGATAAAGATCGGATAATAGAGGAGTTACAAGAAGAACTTGAAAAATGTGAACATGCTTAAATTGAATTCCTATCACCAATTCTGTGGAATCCAAGAACCTCTTTGGAATAGCTATGAAAGCTTGGAAATTTCCCAAGCAATTTTAGCAAGCAATAGATCTCTCATGAATTTGAACTAATTATTATGTGTCAATGTTTTCATGTTGTTCCATGTCAGCGGTGATATATCGCGAGATGTGAAGCTTGCTCTCTGGGCTTCGCCAAAGCCGATCGATTATTTCAAAAGCTCATTTAAACCTCCAATTCACAGTCTTCTAATTTTAATTTCGAAGTCCACGTGTCAATGAATTTTTAATCTTTTTAGAAGGCCTAGATTACCCATAAAGGCTAGTGTATGTACCAATGGATTGGAGACCCAATATGGGAGAGTTGTCACTTGGTTTAGAGATCTAAAAATCCCATATCTACTACTACAAAACAATTCCTACTAGTGCATATATTTTATCTTCACACATTATATTATCTCAGTTTACATACTTAATTATGAATTTTTAGATTGAAAGTTGATTTTTGAACAATATTCATTGGTTTGGAAGTTGATTTTCAAACCAAATAGTTTTATTCAAAAATTAAGTTCTTAAGAAAAATATGTGTACTTAAAAAAACCATGTGTGAAAATAGGAGCTCCCTAGTATGCATATTTCTTGAAAATATGTATATCATATGCATCATCATTTTTAGTCGTTAGAACTTAAAAAAATGGATTTGAGGCGTCAATTTGATTCATAACCAATGTGATGCCGCTATTGAGTTCTCCATCAGGTGATGCTCAAGTAGTGGAGGCTTTGCAAGTAGAGGCTTTGCTCTGTTGTTGGGATTGGTTGGAGTTTACTCAGGATCTGTTGTTGTTTCAATCTGTGGTGTTGCTACTGTCTTTCTTTTCTCTTGTTTGTCTTTGCTTTTTCTCTGTTTGTTGGTTCCTCACCAACTAAGACGTTGGAGCTTTTTCTAGCTCCAAGCTCCTCTTTATTGATGTATCTTTACGTACTTTGTATGTGTTTCATCAATAAAATTTTCTTTGCCGATCAAAAAAAAAATTGTGAATCTTAACTGAACATCACTAAATTCGTAATAAAAAATAATCATGTGAATCATAACCAAAGATCATTAATTTAATTAGAATCCTCGCTAATGAATGGTATGATTGATCTCCCCGATTATTCTATCCTGTTAACCGAATACTGATTTATCAAAATAAACCAAAGGGTAAAAATTAAAACTCAAACACTGCTAGTTTCATAATCCATTTTAATTTGACATATAAGTAATCCCGCATCCACTTTAAACCATAATGAGACATAACAAAAATACTATTAATTCATAACAAAAACTCACTAAAAATATAACTAACCCATAAAATAAAGAAGGAAACGAACTCACTTAGAAGAGGTTGAGGGAAGAGAGGAAGCCATGAAATCTTTGGGATGTCCTATTCCTAACTGTCGAGATTGAATGATAAGGGGACTAAGTTTCATCATTGCCATCTATTTTGCTTCCTTGTCAGCTTTGCTCTCCCCACAGAACACAGAAAAGATGAAATGATAAGTGAGAAACAGGCTAAGAGAGAGACTTGGTTTAAGAGGCAGAGAGAGAGAAGTCAAAGAGCTTAGCCATTTAATTTTAATATAGAATGGAATACAACCAATCATGTGATTCTGATTGCTGCACTAGGAAGTGAAAATAAATGTATGAATTAAACCATAATTGTACCCTTAATTAAAGATAACACAATTAATAATGTGCTCTCTCTCATATCACAATCACATGTGTATTTGCTAACAATGAACTCAAGATGCATGTGGTGATTATTATGATGGCTTTCGAACTATCGTAAAGCTGGAAAATCAATTGCTCTCTCCTTGTAAGTATCTACTAGGAGTCTCAACTGGGAGTTTATGACGGATTTAGACAAGTCAAAATGAATTATACATTTAAAATAATTTAATTCAAATCCATTCATGTAATAAAAGAATTTAGGAAAATAATATATAAGTTTACTTTTTAGATTTATTTTTTTAAATCCAGTGATGTATCAAGAAAATGATTGATTGATAATTAAATATTTTAATTATCAACCAATCATATTATTGACATATCATTGAGTCTAACTTTTAAGTTTGAACAACAATACTTAGAATTTAAATGACTTGAATTGAATTGGATATGTGTTGAATTAGTGGAGGAGTAGTGGTGGAGGAAGTGATAATCATTTAAATGGGTTGAAATGAGTTCGCACGTTCAACTCAATTAAACAATTTAAAACTTGTTTAGGGATTTGGGCAAGCTTAAATAAATGTAATTGGACGAATTTTTAGTTGAAAAATTATTACATAGTCTAACGTGTACTCCCGATAAATAAAGGATTATAACTTATAAGTAAATTGTTTTCTTATTTCTCAATTATCTAACAAAAAGTCATGATATTCTAAGATTTTCCACTATTGGATTACAATGGCGGCTCAAATTTTCCAAAGACCTTAAATTAAATATTAAAATGAGACATTACCTTATTATTTTCTAAAAAATTGGAACCTTTGACAATTAATTTTTTTAAAATTTTTTTTTTTTGATGCATAGTGACAAATTAAATCGCCTAACAACTGAGCCACTTCTGCACCCTTGGTTTATCCTCCACTCCACCCTAGTTTCCATGGGAGTACACGTGGATTAAGAAACAAGAATCGAATATTATCACTTACTCGTTAACTTAACTTTCACAATACGTCCTCTCTTTCGAAAGTGATTGGGCCATATTAGAGAGCAAGGATCCTGTCCTTAGCTCCTTATTTGGTGGGTTATTGAACTTACTTTTGGGTTTAATTTTAATAATTTAAATTGTTCATATTTTAAAATTTGTCGAGTATATCATATTTGTAAAAAATTAAGTCCATCTGATATGGTAAGCCATATGTTCGGATCATTGAATTAAAAGTTTTATTAAAAAATAAAATTGTTTATTAAATTTTTTTTAATAAACGATTTTTAGTTCGATTAATTTGATTTTTTACAGCTATAATATATTCTACAAATCTTAAAATGTGAACATTTCGAATCATCGAAATTGAGCCAAAAAGTAAACCTAATGGCTTACCAAGTAAGGAGCCAAGGAGAGGATCATTGCTCCATATAATTAGGTTTGGTTGTAAAGGTGGACCCAATGTGAATCTTCGTAGGTGTTTGGTATGCACTAAAAAATTATTATTTTTTTGTATACATACACTTATTTGGGTCAGATCAATCAACATCTATCAATATCTTCTCTCTACTTTTCGGGCTACTTTCTCTATTTTTCTATACATTTTTTTTTATTTATAAAAGTTAAAAAGTACACTTATTTAGAACATCCCAAACCATCTCTTAATAGGTCTTATTTTCAAAACTTATTACTCATTAAATAAATTTATTAAATGATAAATTTATCAATCAGAATCTATAAGTACATAAGTCTAGTTAATAAAATTTATTGTTGAGTGCCCTTTTTATTTTGTCAAAGCTCTATATACTCCAAATACTAAATGAATTTCACGTTAGATTTTTTTTGTCACTATAAATACAAAGGGTAAATTGCATTAACACTTTCTGAGATTTTTATTTAATACAGATTTTCTTCTCATATTTGAAAGATTACACTTATTCTTTTGTTAGATTAAAATGACATATTTGTCATTTAACTTTTATACATATAAAATAATAAAATAATATTGATAATTTGTTCATGTTATTTTAAGAGAAATAATAATCATTTTCTTTGGTTTAACTCGCACAAATAAATAATTTTTTTTTGTATTTTTTTATTTTTACCGATTTTTTTTTTAATATTTTCAATATATATATATATATATTTATTTATTTTTTAGATATAGACATAGTCTTAAATTGTGAGGATCTGTTGAAAAAAGTGGCCACTTATTATTAACCAAATCCCATGAGCAAGAATCAATTGGGTGTCGCATCTTGCTATTTTCACTTTTATGAGCAAAATGCCATCTTAAATCTTCATCCATTTGTGATGACCTATAAACATCCTCCTATACCTTGGAATTATATGAAAATATCTTAGCACTTTAGTAGAAACACCCTTTTTAATTTTATTAGTGTGTTGATCGACCTTCCATCGTTAAAAACTACATTTGGGACAACTCTCCATTTCAACATTCTTTTTTCTAAACAAACAGCAATTATTCACACAAGCATGAATCTTCTCATATCCTAAATCAAATGCTTTGACAAATTTTTTCATAGAGTATACAGATTTCAGAATGACGTTTCCTATTGGTAACATGTCATGTAATATATTCAGAAGTTTATTAAAACTGTTATCAGACCATTCACTTACAACTTTGAGCTAGTAAAGAGCTACAATTGCGACCAATTTTGTGCATTTTTCACAACCTAAATATAATGGGGTTTCTACGTCTTCCAGTAATTTGAAAAATTCTTCATCCCCACTTTTGTCAACAGGTTTTCATAATCGTCATCTCGCATACATGCAGCTTTAGATAAATTGTATGAGCCTAACATTTCCATATCAAGTTTATCACTCACATTTGGTTGTTCTCTGTGATGAAACCAATTTGTATAAGTTTCATCCATTCCCTTTATGACCAAATGTTCATACACAATCTCAATACAATGGTGACTTAAGTTTTGACAATCTTTGCAAGAACATATAATCTTCTCTGGATACCTTGTATTCCTTTTAGCCATGTACACAAAATACTTCCTTCATGTATTCATCTGTAGTTCTATTTTACCATTCAAAATCCAAATTTATCAAGACATTTGAGAATGAATATTTTAAGCACAGCAGGTTCCAAATGTAATTTTCATTACCTATTGAGATGCACCCAATATTTCTCCATCATTAACCATGACGTAACTCTTTTCCTAATATGGCCAAGTAATACATATAGTTGCTTAGATAAAAAAAGGTGGAGAAATTTCACAAAAATAAAAGTGCATCTAAATAGTGAAAACAGGGACTCCTTAATAAGGGTAAGGCTGCGTACATCAATCATTTCTCAGATTTCGTTGAAGCGGGAGTTTCGTGCACTGAGTACGTCTTTTTAAAAATTCCCTAATAAACTATGATACATAAATATATAGGTCTTTGAATATGACCTTTATGAATTTTAGTCTTAGACAATGCTATACCAGGGCTATATTAAGGCTTGAGCCATTTTGTGATAACTATAATGAATATTTTGAAAGTGTATTATAAGCATCAATTCCATTACTTTAACTTTCATAAGTGGGCAAAAATATAAAATTGCCTATAAATGGTCATATATAATGAGAAGATTATATTATTAGAGTAAAAAGACAAGAATGCAATAAAGAAAGAAAATCATAATATATATGAATTTTCATAAAACAAATATAGTTCCAATAAACAGCAAAGCAATATCCAAATTAAATAAAAATACATATAACAAATAAATAACTAAAGTAACATAGTTTAATGAAATTTCAACCACAAAATTTGAATAAGCCAAACAACCCCTCCTTTCTCCTCCCAAAGAAAAAAAGAAGAAAACCTTCTATAGTGCATGATGGAGTACATTAACGCTGTATTTGATTAAGTGATTTGGGAAGGGATTTGAAAATGGAAAGGGAAAAGGTATGTGAAATTAGGTGAAATGTATGTATATTTTATTAATATTTCACTTACATTTTTCCTTTCCTTTTCTAAATCCCTTCCTAAATTTCCCAACCAAACACAATGTAAATGCTTGACAAGGAGCAATTGTATAGCCAATAATTTTTTGAAACCTTCACTAGCTCATTCTTCATCCACAATTTTTTTTTTTTTTCTGTATTTACTAAATTTATATATGAAATGCCGTCATAACGTAACTGATATAATTTACCACTTAAATATCTTGCTTTCCTCATGATATTTAGGGGTTGTTTGAGGTGTCCTAAATAAGTGCACTTTTTGTCTTTTTGGATTAAAAAGTTGAGGGCAAAAATATGGATGTTTGAGTTAACTTTTTAACTTTTTATGAAAAAATGTGT